GTGCACCCCCAACAGAGCATGCTGGACCTTCCAGAGGCTGAAAGAGGACCCTTGGATTTGGGAGAACAGCTGGACTAAGGCCAGGGGATACTGGAAGTGTTGGACAAGTATAAATGAAAATTACAGTCATGCACAGCCTACCACCGGAGACGGCAATGGCACCCCACTCCAGTACACTTGCCTGGAAAATCCCATGGACAGAGGAGCCTGGTGGGCTGCCGTCCATGGGGTCGCTAAGAGTTGGACACAAATGAGTGATTTCCCTTTCCCTTACAGCCTACTACCTGGGCATAATCATCATTAATAACACTTCGGTGGACATCCTTCCTATGTTTTTTCTATGATAGGCTAGGCTCCTCTATCCATGGGATTCTCCAGGCAAGAATACTGAAGTGGGTTGCCATTCCCTTCTCTAGGGGATCTTCCCAACCCAGGGATTGACCCTGGGTCTCCCACATTGCAGGCAGTTTCTTTACCATCTGAGCCACCAGGGAAGCCCTACCTCACACATTATGATTTTGAAAGCTGAGTTTGGCAGGTTTTTTAGAACTTAGAATCATTCCTAGAATCCTGGCCCTGAAAAACACCTTAGGAATCATCCTCCAACCAAGTTACAAAAGCAGAAGCTGAGGCCCAGAGAGATTATGTGGTTGGCAAAAGATCACACAGTGGATCCATGACAGACTAATGCTCATGACACCCACTCCCCCAATCCCTGCTCACTCCCAGCGAGGACCTCAGCACCGAGACTCCCTCACCAACCAGGGAGGATCGCAGGATCCGCCACTGTGGCAGAGTCTGGCCCCGACTCACCCCTGGGTCAGCTGAAACCCAGCTCAAGTCACCATCGTGCCCAAGCAGCTGCCTGCCTGCCTCAGCTCCTTGTCTCCCGCAGGTCTTCTTACCAGCAGCATCAACCTGCCCTTTCCAGGCTCCCAATGTATCCTCCATGGCTTCCAACCTCTCCTGGGAGCTCCCTGGGTCCTTGCCTCTCATCAGCGTCCCAGTGAGTGTCCCTCACGGCCCTGAACGTCCTTCTCCAGAGCCTTCCGTGGCCCCTTCCCCCACTCCATCCTGTGGACAGGGACAGACACGAGTCCCACTCGGTGTGTGTTCGTGTGACTGTCACCTCTGCCCCCCCAATAGGACAGGAGCCCTGGGCTGTCCCCCGCCCCTGCCCGTGGGACAGGCCCACCTCCTGACCATGCCGCCTGGCCCCACAGTACTCCATGCACTGCTGCGTGTTGGGGTTCCTCTCCTGCTCCCTCTTCCTGCACATGAGCTTTGAGCTGAAGCTGCTGCTGCTGCTGCTGTGGCTGGTGGCCGCCTGCTCCATCTTCCTGCACTCCCACGCCTGGTTGTCCGACTGCCTCATCGCCCGCCTCTATCTGGGCACCTTGGACTCCAGGTGCGCACGGCCGCTGCACAGAGGGGCCCAGGCTGGGATGGGACAGAGCAGAACTCTCTTCATCTCTCTGCCTGAACCACCCACAGGGCAAAGGCCAAGGGCCACGTGGGTGCTGGTGCGGGAAGTGATGGGGAGGCCATGGGACAAGCCTGATCTGTGGCCTCCTCAGGCCAGGGGTGCTGAAGGAGCCCAAACTGATGGGAGCAGTCTCCTTCTTCATCTTCTTCTTCACCCTCCTAGTCCTGGCTCGGCAGGTAAGTCTCCCAGCTCAACCCTCCAGGGCCTCCCTAGAAAGGGTGAGGCTGGGTCCCCATATATGTGACTTAGTCTCTCTCACCCTTTCCCTTATCTCATATTTCCAGGGGCGAACCCAAATGGTCTGTCCGTTGGAAGCTTCTAAGTGAAATTTCTTGCTCCCTTTCTTCTTTGCTCCCCAACAGGAGTGCCCTTAAATCCTCCCCTCCGCCCCTCCCTTCCACCCCAATCTAGGGAAATCATGTTTAAGAAAAAATCCTCTTCCACTGCTGCCCTCCGTCATTTGAATCTAGATTCGAGGCAGTCTCCCTGGGCAGAGTTGCACGTTAAGTTTTTCTCTAAACTGGGGGTAGAGTGTGGTTTTAAGCATCATGGAGTGAGGGGGTGAATGCTCAGAAGCTGGACCCCCTGTACTGTGTCTCCCCCTGGCCCCCTGTGACCCTCCACAGAATGAATATTACTGCCGCCTGGACTTTCTGTGGAAGAAGAAGCTGAGGCAAGAGCAGGAAGAGACGGAGACGATGGAGAACCTGACTCGGCTGCTCTTGGAGAACGTGCTCCCTGCCCACGTGGCCCCCCAGTTCATTGGTCAGAATCGGCGCAATGAGGTGACTCCCCACCCCCAACTCCTGCGCCCCAAAGGACGAAAGTCTTGGCCTGGCTCATCTTGTCTGGACTCCTGCCTGACGGGTTGGGCGGCCTCCCAAGCCCCCATGCCTGTCAGAGGCCTCCATTTTTACAAGTTCTTAGGCTCTGTCTTTGGTGAGCACAGTCTGTGCCTCCCGAGGTCTTACTGGGAAGGTCTGTCCTCTCTGATTGCTGCTCCCTACCCTTCAAAAGCCTCAATGAGTGTCAGTAGGAACGGTGTGAAGGACACAGTCCTCCCATCTCTCTAGCCCTGCACTGTCCAGTTTGGTAGCCATTAGCCTCAGTGTGGCCGTTCATTAAAATAGAAGATTCAGTTCCTCGGTCACACTGGCCCTATTTCAAGTGTTCCACAGCTGCTTTGGCTAGTGGCCACCATATAGAACAGTGCAGCCAACAGAACATTTCCATCACCACAGACACTTCTGCTGGATGCTGCTGCTCTAGACTCTTCTTTTCCCTACTATTGCTTTTTTTTTTTTTTTAGTTTGAATAGCAAAATTTATTTCTCAGAGTTCTGGAGGCTATTACTGCTTCATTTTATCTTCCAAAGTGTAGCTATCTTTGTAAGCTGACTTAGCACTTTTCAGCAATAAGATATAAAGATAATTCCCATGGGTATGATCCCAGTTCCAAAAGAGACTCCCTTCACATTGCTGTGAGGTGATCTTGACTCCGAACCTCTCTCTTCCCTGGAATCCCAATGTGACCCAATCTTTAACTTCTGGGTCACATCCCTGGGGTAACCTGACCCTTCCCCTCCCCTTCCTTCCTGATCCTTCTTACACCGAGGGGGAGGGGTGTGGACACAGGGAGGAGGGCCCATATAGACCCAGAAGGGGGAAGAACATGGCATAGCCCCTCACCCCAGCCTCCTGCCCTCCCAGGACCTCTACCACCAATCCTACGAGTGTGTGTGTGTCCTCTTCGCCTCAGTCCCAGACTTTAAGGAGTTCTACTCTGAATCCAGCATCAACCATGAGGGACTAGAGTGTCTGCGGCTGCTCAATGAGATAATCGCTGATTTTGATGAGGTGACAGCTCCAAGGGTCCCCCCAGACCCTATGTCCTGGATCCTAGCATTTCCCACCAGGCCCTCCTTGCACTTCACTGTCCTGGCCAGGAGGACCATCCTCCCCTCCCCAGCCCTCCTGCTTCTCCTCTGATCCCCCAGCCCTGCCCCCCCCAACAACTCTGCTCACTGCCAGCTCTCACCCTGCCACCATCCCTGACCCCACAACTGGTCCTTTAGCTTCCAAAAGCCTGGGGCTGGGCTTCTGGGAGAGAACCAGAGAGACCGGGGACACAGCCTCCTTTCTGTACAGCTGCTCTCCAAGCCCAAGTTCAGTGGGGTGGAGAAGATCAAAACCATCTGCAGCACCTACATGGCAGCTACCGGCTTGAACGCCACCTCTGGACAGGATGCACAGCAGGTACCGCATCCCTTCCTTTCCTACTAACCTTCTTTTGGGCTCTCCTTGGCGGGCCCATAAGTGGGCCTTATCCTTGTGCCTTCATTGACCCATCCTGGTGGGCTGGCCCTTTGCCAGGATGCTGAGCAAAGCTGCGGCCACCTTGGCACCATGGTAGAATTTGCTGTGGCCCTTGGGTCTAAGCTGGATGTCATCAACAAGCACTCATTCAACAACTTCCGCTTGCGTGTAGGTGAGGACCCTCCCTTCCTGGGGCAGTTTGGGACCTCCTTCTCACCTTCCCAAGCTCTCCCTCCGCCAAGTCCTTTGTTAGCTGCTCCCCAGCTCATCCCGGGAAGCCCCTTCAGACTCACCCCTTGGGACGGAGCATGAAGCTGGGAGGCCCATCCACTTCCTTCCCTAAGCAGCACTCCTCTAGCCTGTCCTGCTTGCCTCCAAGGCCCCCAGCACCTTCAGTCTAGTTCCCTGAGGTTTCTTTTCCCCATCTTCTTCGTCAAAACTCCCCCTCTTTACACCTCTTGTCAGGGTTAAACCACGGACCTGTAGTGGCTGGAGTGATTGGGGCCCAGAAACCACAGTATGACATCTGGGGCAACACGGTGAATGTGGCCAGCCGCATGGAGAGTACAGGGGTCCTGGGCAAGATTCAGGTGAGGGAGCCCCTCAGGCGTGGGGGCAGGGGTAGGGCTACGGACAGCCCCGCATTCCCTCACCCCTTTCCAATCGCAGGTAACAGAAGAGACAGCCTGGGCCCTGCAGTCCTTAGGCTACACCTGCTACAGCCGGGGCATCATCAAGGTCAAAGGCAAAGGGCAGCTCTGCACCTACTTCTTGAACACAGATTTGACACGAACTGGACCTCCCTCGGCCTCCCTAGGTTGAGAACCCAACCCCGTCCTCTCCATCTCATCTGTAAGATCCTCAGTAAAGAGACTCTGGTATGTCTGGGCTAGAATTGATGTCAGAGGCTGCTAGTTTAGCTGAGGAGCATCTTCTCCTCACCGCTCAGTAGGACTGCTTCTTCCCAGGCCAAACTGAATGTGTGTGTGCAAGTGTGAGCATGAGTGTGTTAAAAAGGAGTGATTTTTTTCTCACAAGCTCAGCAAAAGGACTGCCTCTGCCTCCCTGCCTGCCTGCCAACCTGATTCCAGTACTGGGGACCCTTGGAAGTAGAAAGAATTTTATCCACATGACTCAGAACAAAGATTTGTTCTCTCCTGCTTCCCACCCACAAACACTGGAAAGAACCTCCAGGAAAATGACATTTCATCTTTATTCACACAACAAACACTAAATAAGCACCTGTTATGTGCTTACTATGTAGCATGGGTGGGAGGCCTGGGATATAATCTATTAGGTCCCTCCCCATTCCAGCTGCTGTTCTCAAGCTGACCCACCATGCTTTCTAGCAAGGACATGTATACAGTTGGGGTCTCCAATTCTCAGGTCTCTCAGATTCTCCCTTGCTTCCTTTTGCCTCCTGCCCAGATGCTGATATTACATAGGTCCTGAAGCATCCATGACTCATCCTTGCTCACATTTTGGGGTCCATGAGAGGTATCTTGATGTGCAGATGTTACATGAGGATTTTTGACTTTTCTCCTAGTTGTCTTTCTCTTTTTATGCAAGAGATTCAAAAAGTAAACTGCCACTGCCGTCTTCTTAAATGCTGTCAGAACAGAGCCAGTCCAAGGCTCTCCAAGACAACAGTCTTCCCAAGTAAAAAATGACCCAACCGTCTCGCTTTTGCAAATCTTCATTTCCTAAGGGTGACCACATCACAGAGGGCCTTCAGCTCCAGCCTGCGCCACAGCATTTTAGGGGCTGGCAGGATGCTGGCGTGCAGAGTTCTAGGGAATAAGATCTGATGACTTGGCTCGCTGGTGAGACTGCCTCGGGAGAGAGAGGGAAAAGAGGCAATCCCCTAAGAGATTGTCCTCTCCCATTGAGAGGACACAGAGTACTGGCAGGAGGTTGGAGTCCCATTAACAAAGATCCCCACCCCAGCCCTCTGGGCAGACACCTCCTAGAAGGTCTAAATATTCTTCCTGTGCTGAGTCAGGGAGTCTGGTGTGATGGGCACACCTGGGTGGTCTTCCTTGGCCAGCTCCTTCAGGGGTCTGCAGACCTGTGTTGTTCCAAGTATGATCTGCAGATCACCTTCCTCAGAATCGGGGTGGGAAGGTCTGATTTCTCTGTCTCTGTGTCCCAAAACTGAAAAGCATGGGAAACTAAAGGATGTGCCACTCTGCGATTGAGAAGGAGCAACCAGGAGCACCCCAGTCCCCCATCATGAACACATCACACAGACCGGAGTTGACCCAGTTTCAGACTTCAGTTTTAATTGTAAAGCTGCCTGTGGGGACCCGGTTCCCATTCAGCCCTGACTTGTGCCCCTCCCCCGCTTCCGCTCCACTCTCCCACCAGCGTTCTCTTCCTGGGGGAAGGAGGGGGATGGTCAAAAATTGGGTCAGGCCAGCGGGGAGGGCATTCCCCCAAGCTAGGGTCTTTGCGCTGAGGCCAGCCAGCAGGCCTAGTTGAGTTCGCTTCACTCGAGAGGGTTGGTGGAGGCAGTGAGGCTCTCGGTGGGGTCAGGCTCGGGAGAGGCGGGGGTGCCCCTCACCGTCTGGGCCAGGGAGCCCACACGACGGCTGCTGGATGCCTCGGAGCCGGTGCCCTCCAACAGCTTGGCGACGAAGCCCATGCCGGCCGAACGCAACAGACCGCCCCCGGCGCACGCGTACAGCACGGGGTTCACGCTGCTGCTCAGGAAGGCCACCGTGATGAGCACGTGGCGGGCCAGGAGCAGCCGATAACCCACCAGTCCGGAACCCAGGGCCTGGCCCGCTGCGGCGCGGAACCCCTCGGCCAGGTTCACCGCGTGGTAGGGCAGCCAGAAGACGGCGAAGGCCAGGATGATGAGCGCCACCAGGCGGCCGGTGCGGCGGCTGCGGCGGAAGCGCCGGGCCCGCAACCTGCGCCCGATGTCGCAGTAGCTGGCCACCACGACCAGGAAGGGCAGCAGGAAGCCGGTGATCACCTCGAAGAACAGATGGAAGGCCCGATGTCTCTCGCTGGGATACGTCAGGAAGCAGGTCAGGCTCCTATTGTCCGGTTGCAAGTGCACCGTGCGGTACAAGAGGACGGGAGTGGCCAGCAGAACAGACACTACCCAGATGCCGGCCAGCACCCGCCAGGCGACTGCCTTGGTGCGCAGCTTCTGGGACACAAAGGGGAGGGCCACTGCCAGCGAGCGGTCCAGACTCATGGCCGTGATAAGCAGGACGCTGGCATACATGCTGACTCCACAGACATAGTGGAACAGGCGGCAGCCGGATGTTCCGAAAGTCCAGGTGCCTTGGGCCACAGAGTGGAGGAAAAAGGGGGCAGTGAGCAAGACGGCCAGGTCGGCCAGGGCCAAGTGCAGCACCATCAGGGCAGTGACAGAGCGCTTCGGCAGCTTTGCCAGGATGCTCCACACCACAAAGCTGTTGCCAGGAAGCCCTACAGCCAGTGCCACTGACAGTACGATGATGACCAGCAGCGAGATGAAATTGACACCCGGTGAGGAGGGTGCTGCAGGAGATGTAGTGTTCATGGCTATAGCAAGGACCTGGAGAGTAAGGGCGACACGCACATGAAGGAAGGGTTTCCTGACACTCTGGACACACCTAGTCTGGGTGCTCTCATCCGTCTCCAAGATCAGTGCCATCAGATGCTGCTCACCAGGGTATACTACCCTCATCATCACCCACTGACCTGTCTTAAGGGGACCTGGCTGAGTAGAAAGATTAATTTCCTAACTGGGCCACAGAGCCCCTTCCTGCCCATAGACCCAATTGCAAAATATACAGCAACAGCAGAAGCAGTATTTCCAGACCCGTCAGCCACTGTCCCTTAGGAGACCCTAAAACCCAGAACCAAAGTGGAGGCTTTCCTTAACAATGCTGCACCTCTCAAAAGGCTAGCTCCTTTCCCCTACTACACCCCCACCCCGGCCAGACCCTCAGCCCACTCAAGTGCCACTGACCTCTTCCAATCACCTACCCACTCACTCCAGAGGTGCCCAGGGTCCACCAAGAATAACAGGGATGGGGAAGATTTCGTGGACAGGAGACAAGACCAAGTCCTCTCAAGTTCCTCAGCTTGCTTTGGAAGTCCTTTGGACTTTCTCTTACAGCTGTGCTCCCTCCCCCCACCTCCCCTACTCCAGGGTACTTACTTAAGGCTTTGCCGGGCACTGGTTGGAAGCTGGTGCCAGTCCCAGGGCGAGGGCAGAATGGTGTAGCCTATCCCCAGATCTGTGCTGGTGCCAGGGGCCTGGCCTGGAGTCTGGGTGCTGTCAGTTAAGTCAGCTAGAGAGGAAGTACCAAAGAGCAGGGGAGGGGAGATGCACCTTCCTGAGGGTGGGGCGGAAACTCCTACCGGCTCCCTTCACTAGGTGGGGTGGAATAGTCTTTGTGTTCCAGAAGAGCCCAGTGGGAAGGAGGACTCCTCAGGGGTGGGGCCAGAAGAGAAGAGCCCCGAGAGGGGCAATGAGAGAGGAAAGAGGAGTGAGGGGGTGGGTAGGCTGAGATGTGGCCTCAGATGAAGGTTGAGACTGAAGAATGGAACAGAATAATGAATTGTCATGCAAGAGAAGGAGAGAAGGAAGCCAGAGAGGGGAAATGGACTCAGACTAAGAGGTCAGAATGTTGACTATCTTTATATCTTCTGTGAAAGATGTAGATTTTCAGATTAATAGGAAATGTGGACTGGGGCTTGGTTCTGGGTTTGGGTCAGGTGATGTCATGACTTAAAGAGGACAGCACTCTGTCTTTGACTTAGTTTCAAGCCATGACTGGGATTTGGTGGAGAGGACCCCCTTACAGCACCCTCCATCCCTCCTCTCATTTAAAAGAACTAGTTCCATTCTAGGTCCATCTCCCTTTTCTTTCGTAGAAGCCAAATGGTCTCTCTAGTATCACACAGAATGACAATTTCTTCCCCTTCATGAAGCACTTGCCTTGCACTGCCAATGTGGCTACGCTGCCACATGAATTTGGACTTAAGATGTGGGGCTGGGCAAGTAAGTCAGCACTACCTCTTTCCTACCTTCCCACAGCTGACTTCTGTCCCACCTTAGACACAGAGGGAAAGCAGAGATGAGCACAAGAAGCAGACGTGAGAGAGGGGGGAACCAGGAATGTGGAAAGCGAAGCAGCCCCCAAAAGGATCACTCTTGCCCCTCCCTGGAAGGAGGGCAGTCTCCTCTTCTTGACTCTCCTGCAGAAGCTAAGAACCAAGAAGTCTAATCTTCAATCCAATCATGAGCCTTCCTGCTTCCCTTCCAACTCCACCACTTCTTGGGAAATATGCATAATGGTGGTAATGGGTAAGAGTGTAATGGTGGTCATTGAGGTCCCTTACCCTTTGTAGTGGCCCCAGCTTTCCTGCTTTGAGAAAAGCCAGAGCAGGACTTCCCTGTGGTTAAGAATCTGCCTGCCAGTACAGGGGATAGGGATTCAATCCCTGCTCCAGGAAGATTCCACATGCCAAGGGGCAACTAAGCCCGTGTGCCACAATTCCTGAACCTGAGCCCTAGAGCCTTCAAGCCACAACGAGAGAAGCCCCCTCAGTGAGAAACTCACACACCACAATTAGAGAGTAACCCCCACTCACCACGACTTGAGAAAGCCCGTGCGCAGCTATGAAGACCCAGCACAGGAAAAAATAAGTAAATTAAATTTTTTTAAGAAATAAAAAAAGAGAAGAGCCAGATCAGAGTTGACCCAGCAGCTATCAGCTAGAGGATATGATGAAAAGAGATGGGCTGAAACCACAGTAAGAGCTGGAGGCAGAGTTGAGGAAGAGCCTTCTGGCCACAGACGGTGTGTGGGATAGGAAATGTGTAGCAGAAGTTAGGAAGCCTCTGCTCTGGTGCACAAGGACAGGAAGAAAGCCATGAAGTTAGTGTTTGGGGATAGACGCTTCTGGCTCAGAGCTCTGGGGTTACCCAGAGGCCCCTTCTGACAGGAACTAGGTTGTCTTTGCCTCCTCTTCCAAGCTGCTCCCCACCTCCATCTCTCTCTATGGTCTTTCTCCCTCTGCCCCAGACTAGACACTCTAACCATACTTTCTGCCCCCTCCCCCAAGTCCAGAGCCCTGTCCAATCCCAGTTTTGGTGACCCTGGCCCGACCCTGAGGACTGGATTTCCTCTAACTTGACTTCTGCCTGGGTGGTGTAAACAGTCAAAAAAGCAGAACCTGGGGTGATGGTCGGTGTGACCACTCAAGTAATCAAACATTTACGTTTGTTAGAGACTCAGGGGCCTGGGACAAGAGACTTGCAGTGCTAAAACTGAGAAAGTCCTAGACAAATGGGGATGAGCTGGTTACCCTAATGACCACACGTGTGTGCACATGGACATCCCCTAAAAAAGACTCCATCCTACATTCCCAAACTCAAAAAGTGACAGGATCCAGAACAATTTTGAGACCTAGAGAGATTCCAAAAGATGGGAACCGAGAAGTATTGGGGAAGGTGAGGAACAGCTAGCAATCTTGGGAGAAGCCAAGACTTGGCAGAGAGGAAAAAGAGAGAAAGGAGAAGTGGCATCTCCCTGAAAAATTCCTTTTGTCTTCCAGATAGCCACACCGTTCCTCATACCCCTCAATTCCAACCCTAGAAGCCTCCTGGGTGAATGAGTGTCTGCTCCTGAGCGCCTTTTTTGAGTCAGGTGACCTTTTCAGGGAGAGTTACATTCAGAGAAGGTAAGTCTCCGACTTCCAAGGCCCCTCCCCCGCTGTGCCAACCACAAGACAGACAAGAAAACTTTCCTTTCAAACCCTACAGACTGACTTTCCCTTCCCAGAGCCAGTTTCCCACCCACTTAGCTCTAACAGACCAAGAGAATAGATCTTATCACCATCTCTCTGCCAAGCACTCACACCTTCCCTTCCTCTTTCTCCATTTATTTCCAGAGTGGTTCTATGGGTGGGCTTGGGGGAACCAGGCCATCTGGGCTAGGGAGGACAGGTGAAGATGCCACCGAGGGCTGGCATTGCCCAGCCTCGGCCTGACCCAGCCAGCGGTGAGCTAGGTGACATGGGGTAGTTTCACTCAAGTAGGATGACCCACTGGAGGGAGCACACTTAAGCCATCCTGTAATGTATTTCACACAATTTCACAGTGTCTTTCACAATAGCTATTGGCAACAAGTTAGCAGCTCTGGCACCCGGGTACATGCCAGCCTGCAGGTACATGATATTCTTTAAAACGGGCCATCACCACTGCCAGTCCTGGGAGGAACCTGGGTCTTCCCCAGATGTATAATAATTCTGCCCAGAGAGCTGGTGGGAGAATCCCCAAACCATCCAGAGTGGTTCCCTGGTTCCAAGGGGGCGCTGGAAGGGGTCAGGGAAGAGCAGGCCTGGTGGTAGGGTTTGACGTCAAGGGTCCCAACCCTGACTATCCTTCTGCGCCCCGCCCCCAGGGTCTCCATTGCCACCGCCCTGCCCCACCACTTTGAGCCGAGGGGTAGCTCGGAGCTCCAAGGTCCCCTCCCTAGAGCGGCCGCCCCCTCGGGCCTCTCCGGAGCCCTCAAAGAGCCGCATGAGGAAGCGGGGACCCGCCCGCGGCAGGAGATCCCCGGCGGTGAAGAGGTAGAGCACCGGGTTGATGCTGGAGCTGAAGAAGGCCAGAGCCGTAGTTCCGGCTCGCGCCGCCTGGCCCGCCCCGCCCAGCCTGGCGAAGGCCCCTTCGGGTGGAGCCAGCGCAGCGAGCGCCTGCAGCATGTTGACGGCGTGGTAGGGGGCCCAGAGCAGGCCGAAGGCCAGCACGATGGCGCCCACCAGCCGGCCCACCCGTGTCACGCGCCGCCCGGCGCCCCAGCGGACGCCCCGCAGCCGCGCCAGCGTCACGCCGTAGCAACCGAGCACCAGCCCGAAGGGCAGCACGAAGGCGGTCAGAGTCTCCAGGCTCAGGTGGGCGGCGGCGTGGGCGGCCGACGGGTGGCACAGCTGGCACACACGGTCCGCCCCGAGGTGGCGGTAGACGGCCGCCGGGGTGGCGAGCACCAGGGCGGCCAGCCAGACGGCCAGCAGCAGGCGGCGGGCCAGGGCCGGGCTGCGTAGCCGGGGCGCCAGGAAGGGGCGCGTGACGGCGAGGCAGCGCTGCAGGCTGAGCAGGCCGGTGAGCAGCACGCTGGCGTACATGCTGAGCGCGCACACGTAGTACACGACCTTGCAGCCCGCCTGGCCCAGCGGCCAGGCCTGCCGGGTCAGGAAGGCCACGAAGAGCGGCGTGAGCAGCAGCACCGCGCCGTCGGCCAGCGCCAGGTGCAGCACGAGCGTGGCCGCCAGGGGGCGCCCTCGCGTGGACCGCCAGCCGGCCAGGCTCCACACCACGAAGCCATTGCCCGGCAGCCCCAGCAGCGCCGCCAGCAGCAGGAAGGCCGTCCCCGTGGCCCGCGAGGTCTTCCAACTCAGCAGCGTCTCATTCCCTGGCGGACGGTAGCAGGCCGACATTCTGTGCTTACAGGAGGCTGGAAAGGGCCGTGGGGCGCATTCAGGTGGGGCAGAAGCCCACGTTCCGCCTGATGCCAGTGAGAAGGGACTGAGCGTCCCTCACTCCTCTGCAGCCTGCCTCTGTTTTGTCTGGGGGCCTCTCCCCCCCCCCCCCCCCCCCCCCAGGACCCCAGCCCCAGCTCAAACACTACTCTTGGAACCCGTATCCCCTGCTCTCTGTCAGGCCACCTCCCCAGTCCTGACTCTCAGCTGTCCCTGCCTCCACCTCCACCATTCTCACCTAGCCTCTCCTTGGTCCGGCCCCATTCCCTGTATGTATACACCGCAGGGTAAAAGTGAGTGGAGGGGAGTAAGGTCTAGCGGGCAGATCTACTTACCTAGCTGGGCAGAAGCAGGGTTGGGGGCTCTCCAGGGGCCTGGGAACGCCCAAAGGCAAAGCGGCAGTGGGCAAGTTGCCTAAGTCGGTCCTGTCCCTGTTAGGTTGGCAGAGGGTGAGGCAGAAACAGGGAGGGACAAGGTGGGGCTCCTCTTGGGCCTTTCCAGGAGCCCTCCCTCACTGGGCTGCTTCCCATCACTAACTCGTCCAGGCATGTGAGAGCCCGCCTCCCCAGGAAACAGGATAAGCTGAGGGGGTGCAGGTAAGGTTCCCCGGGTGTGTGGGTGAGTAGGGACACTGCCTGATCCTGCCCCTGGGTCCTGCCTCTGCGCTCATTTCCCCCTGCAACACACACACACACCCCTCCAGTTCTCAGCCCTCCCACCCTGCAGCTCTTACTCTGTCAGACGTCCCTTGCCAGCTCTCCGCAGAGAAGGCAACCCAACTCCTCATTCCCATAGCTGCTGTATCTTTGCCTGTTTTCAGACTCCTGACCCTGCTAAGCCCCACTTTTCCTCAGCTTCCTACCTACCCCCTCACCTCCTGCCTTGGGCCCTGCCCCACTCACTCCAGCCTCACGTCTCTCAGAGGGCTATCAATGACAGCTTTCAGTGAGAGCATGGGGCTAAGTTCCCGGGGGGAGTGGGAGATGCACGGAGGTGGGACGGGCTTAGCTGCGTGAAGAGTTGTGGCACACACCCATGAAGAGGCCACACTACTGGGCTTCACGAGGATACAAGGTGAGGAAAAAGGAGAGGCTGCAGTGTAGAGACATACTGAAAGGAAGCCTTCTCTGGGTGGAGAGGCCAGGCAAAACTTAGAAATGAAATCTGGCAGACTGATAAAATTGAGGGAAGAAGGAAAAAGGCTTCTGCCTGTCGACAGTCAGAAAGGGGCTCCTTGGGCCAGGACACCAGTATTGTCTCAGTTTGGTTTCCCTCCCAGCAGAGCTTGAGTCGAGGTTGTGGGTACAGGTAATCCTGTCTTTAGGGGGTCAGCTCGGGAAGCCGGAGTGAGAGCAAGGGAAGGGGAAGAGGGGAGCCAGTGAGAGCGTGTTACTGAGTTCCTGCAGTGGGCTCCAGGAACCTCTGAGCACGTAGAATACCTTCTGGAAGGACAGAAGGCCGATGTTTATGTCCAGCTCGCCTTCCCCATTGTTTAAGGTTGTCCTAGAGGCTTTAAGGCCCTAACGCACACTCGCAGCCTGCACTGTACACCTTCAGACGAGGCTCCTGGACAGTGTGTGTGTGATGTGTTCACTGACAGTGAGAGTCTGAGCTTCCACACAACTGTTCATCACAACCGTAGCTGAAGTGAGAGATGGGACACGGGATACCTAAAGCTAAGGTCCATCAAAGAAGGCATTTTCTCTGCCCCCAACCATGACTGTGCGTGCTGTCGCTCAGCCATGTCTGACTCTTTGCGACCCCATGGACTGTAGTCCACCAGGCTCCTCTGTCCATGGGATTCTCCAGACAAGAAGACTGGAGTGGGTTGCCATGACCTCCTCCAGGGCATCTTCCTGACCCAGGGACTGAACCCGCATCTGTCTCCTGCATTGGCAGGTGGGTTCTTTACCATTAGTGCCACCCGGGGAGCCCCCTCCGTGATTCCTTCATGCTAATTAAGTGGCCAGTGGGAGGGAAAAGTGAGTGACTAATCCACTGTGACTGAAGCAGGCAGTTCTAGAAAAGGAAGTCAGAGAAATGTTAAGCCAGCCCTTCCCCTGGACCACAGAAGGAAGAGTAGGAAAGCAGGAAGGTCAGGGTCCCAGACAGGATCCTGATGATCCTGGATCCATGGATCACACCCCATGGGCACACACGGCCCCCTATCCTGTTTTCTCCAAGCCCTGCGGGTCCTCTGCACAGCCTCCCTTTTCCTAAAACTGCAGTTCATGTTTTTTTTTCAGTAGGTGGCAGCACATACAGAGCAAATCACACAAGGCAGCTTTGCACAGATTGGCAGCTAGAAATTCCCTCCATATAAAGAAATATGCCAGAGATTACATTCCATCCAATTACTCTCACATCACACACTGTTTACTCTCACATCACACACTGCCACCAGAGACACACACAAAACCTCCACGGCTTTTGCCTGGCATCTCAGGACCTCAATCCTTCCACCACCACGCCCCTCCCCTCCCCCACCTTGGACTTTGCCCTGCGTGCTGGCCAGGCAGAGGGGGCCAGAGTCCAGGCTTGACTCATCCCCCGACTCATTGCAGCTGAGATCTCAGCTCCATAACAGAAAACACCACCACTTCAGCTCCAACCCAGCAAAGAAGCACCCAGCCTAGGACTCCAGGGAGAGGCCCCTCTCCGGGTCCCTTCCTCCACCATGGAGTACCTCTCTAACCTGGACCCCAGCGGCCTGCTCAGGTGACTCCTAACCCTCCACTCCACTCTCCAGCTCTGGGTATATGGGCAGAGCCACAACGCTCCATTCAGCCTCTAGTTTCCTAGACTCTCCAATTTGTATCCCTCTGCCTCCCTGCCACCACTTGTCATAGTGGGCTTGTCTAGATTCTGACGCACACCCAGCCCCCCATTCTCCCCATTCCCCCTCCAACCCCCCCACTTCCTCCACCCCCCGCTCAGTAGTCTCCTCCTCTCCCTGGGCCACTCTAATCTGCACACCTAGATCCTCTCTCCCAACTCCCCTAACACTGCAGCTACCCCACCCACACCCATCACCCCCAGTGCACTCAGCAGA